ATTCGAATTTGGACGAAATTGCGTATATTTAAACGATAATTAACAATGTTAATTTTTTTCCTTGTAATAATTTAAAAACATAATCAGAAATTTAAGATTATTACTTATATTATGAATACTACTTTATGCATTGAAATTTTCAAAATATGTAAATACATTTTAAGATATTACCTGTTTATACTATGAACATATTCACACTATTTTACGGTAATGTGGTATTAACTAAAAAGTTATCAATAATTAATAATAATATAATAATATGGTATAACTTATATTTATTATTATTTTAATGATTAAATATTATTAATATAATATATGCAATGTTTCCGATAAAAAGTAAATAAACCTTTACTGTATAAAATAGATTAATTTAAAACAGCAGTATCATAAAACATTTCATGAAATGTACTTAGCGATTGCTATGTAAAAAGTCAGACCATCTTCGCTCAGAATCATGTGTTCCTTACAATTGAATTCAAATTGAAAACATCCATCACAGTTATTCATTGATCTATCGATATTTAATATAGAACTGAACGGTACTCACTTACCTATTTTTTTTTCAAATAATAATATTTAAATAAAAAAAAATATCGAGAAAAAATTGTATATCAACTGATCACCTTTTTTCCCACCCCTGCCTCGTAAAGTCTATCCATGATTATTATATTATTTCCATTAGCCAACTCAAGCGCCTAACAACTTACTTGATCGTCCCAGTGAATATGAAAGGTTTTATTTACAAAATTAAATTTATAATGAAATTTGAACTACAGGAAATATCAAGAGATGCAAAGAGCTAATATACATAAATGATTTATAATTTTTAATTTATTATTTAGTGTAAAAATTGTATAATTAAAATATAATATTTACCACTGGTCGTGATTAAATTTTGCTATTTCGTACGCTGTTTGTTCTATATTATTTAACTAATACACGCTGTATGTAATATAAACATGAAGGGTTAAGTTCAAAAAAAATTACATTGCCTTGAACCTAAGAACACTAAATTAATTTTTAAAAATATTTTCATAATATTATGTGGATGTAATTTTGATAAACCATTACAATCAATTTATTGATTGGTTTAATTTTAAACTAAGACATGTAAAATACATAATAATTGACTGTAAAGGTAAGTAAGGTACTATATAGTACCTACCTTTTATTATTTTAGGCTTCCATTTTGTATTTGTAAATTCGTTTTATTAGTTGCTAAAAATATTAATATTAATATTTACTATAACAGAGTTACAGTTTTACGTATTTTACAACGTTTAAAATATTAATAAGTAACTGTGGAGTGTGAACAATTACACATTACACCTAAGTTGAATCGAAATCCTTTTTACTTAGAGTTTTTAATTGTCAGTTATTTTTTTTTTTTTTTTTTTACATAAATCGATATTTTTCTCATAGTTGTCATTGTTTAGCAAAATTTATTTTTTATTTCGTTTTGACAAAATAACTAGCAACGTATTTACTGTAATGAATCACTTTTTGTGTTCCTAGAAATATGTTTATTAATAAAAGAGAACATATTTGTTTTTTCACTCCTTGGAAATTGAACGATTCGTATTATAAGTGAAACATTGGCAAGGTAACTGATTTTAAGAAATATTTTATGGTCACAAGTCAATCAAAAATAAAAATAACAGCGAATGATTCGGGAAATTTGTTATAGTTTAACTATAATAATTTTAGAAGATTTGATGTGAACAATTTTTTCTACGAAAACCTACTTAAAATATTAAACAAATAACAGTAAAATGATAAGAAATCTGAAAATATTCTTAAATTTACTATTACGCAGAAAATGTTCAAACTTTTCTTAAAAGTCCATTACTTATGTCACTATCAACCAAACCAATTACACTACAAGAATTTAAATCATATATGTATTACAAGACTACACAACAAATTTCTAAGGTATGATCAAATTAATAACAAAATAGTAAATACTCAAAAACTAACGAACAAAATTATTCTTCCTCTGACTCATATATACAGCACTATGCTCAAATTATCATATATTCCTCTAATATGGAAATTCTCAAAAATAATAGTAATTCCCAAACCAGAAAAACTAAAGCATTTAGTAACTTCAAACCACGCGATAAGTCTACTACCGACGTTAGGGAAATTTTTTGAAAGATTACTTCTCAAAAGAATAACCCCTATTATCTGAGAAAAAATATCATTCCTAGTAATCAATTTGGATTCCGATCAAATTACTCGACAATCCGCCAAATACATAGAATCACAGACAAAATATCAGCATCACTCGAAAAAAAAGAGCTTTGTCCAGTTGTATTCTTAGATATCGTGAAAGCATTTGATCGTGTTTGACACGACGGTATATTGTTTAAATTAAAATAATTTCTACTTGCTCAATATAACCTAATACTAAAATCTTATCTCGAAGACCGATATTTCACTATTAAACATAATAATTCTTACTTCTCTTATTATAAAATCAATGGGGGACTACCCCAAGAAAGCGACCTATTACCTATACTATATGAGTACAATATTTATACATCAGATATCCCCAAAATAAACTTCACAATTCTAGCGACATATGCAGACGATACCGTTATACTAGCATCAAACAAAGACCCAAACACAAATACAATACCACTTAAATGGCACCACAACTGGACCAAAGATTGGGAAATCAAATTAAATGAAAATTAATCAGCTCAAATAAATTTTTCTCTAGGTAAAAATAAATGGTTACAACTATCACTCAAAAATTTACAAATTCTTATTAAAAATGTTACCAAATACCAAGAAGTTCACCTTGACAAATGACTTACTTGGGCCCAACACACCAAGCTTAAAAGAAAACAATCTAACACACGCCTACATCTCCTTCGTCTATTACTGTCTTCTTTAATGAGTTTAAAAAATAAAATATTAATTTACAGGACAATTATTACCTCTTTTTGGTCGTATGGTATCCAAATCTAAGACCAAGTCAAAACATCTAGTATAAGACCTTTAAAAGTCTTACAATCGATATATCTTAGATAAATAACTATGGTATATGACAAGGGTGATGAACTTACGGCACGCGTGCCAGAGGTTGCACGTTAGTAAAATTTCAATGGCAAGTGAAAAATTAAAATTAAAAAAATTATGCTATTTATAAAATGTTGGTTATACGAAATTCAAAGAAACAAATTATGTTTAAAAATTATAATATTCTTTTGTAAAATGTTTTATATTACTATATTATTACTACATTTATTGAGTAAATATTTTTATCCTTAGAAAATATAATTTCCTTTGGGCACGTAAAAATTTTCAAAACCTTGATTTGGAAAATTTGACACTTGTCTCAAAAAAGGTTTTTCACCTCTGGTATATGACTAACGACGCATACATAAGGATCTACAAATCTCAACAGTCATTGAATTAGCAATTTAACACTATAAAAAGTTCCACTCAAAGCTCCATTCTAACCAAACCCTCTTATTTCTTGTATGTTCTCTATAACCATCCCCAGCAACCTCTCAAGCAGATTAAAAAGAAAATGGTCAAGAGACGCTCTTGCCCAATAGGAAAAAAACGGTCTCTTCACATGAACCCACAAAATTAAACAGGAGGTACTGTTGATGGACAGTTTTCCCTCCTCAAGCTAACCAAGTCGTCTTTATTATTACTATATTATCCAATTTGTGCTTTTGTGTATAAATTGTAAATTACTCTTATAAGTAAAAAAAAAAAAAAAATTACTATAAATTTAGTAAGAGATTTATCATCAAACTTTTAAAAGTCTTCTCTTATTTTTCCCTTAACGACCACGGATCCCGAAAAACTACACGAATACAATATTTTATTTATTATTTGTGGTAATTGATGCCTTTATTTTACTAACTCTTTGTGAAAATATGTTTTTATATTTTTGTATTTATACGTTCATTGTACAAACTTTTATATTTTTTTACCAATTTACAAAAATTTATCATTTTTCAACACGAATAATATTATTTTTAACATATAGGAGATATATTTTATAAACAAAAGTAAAACAATAAATTAAAATAGTACATGGGGCTTATTTCATTTTCAATTTATTCAATAAAAAACAATGTAAAAATAAATGTCAACTAAACGATAGAACTCACGAAAACCATACGATTTTAAGTATGAATATAATATAAATCAATATAAATAAGTAGCATAGACTCTTGTACTTTAAAAAGAAAAAAAAAGAAAAAGAAAGTCGTATTTTGAATCAAACAAAATGCTATTAAAAAAAAAAAAAAAATCGTGTATCTAAGATGCCATTAAATTCGTGATCACTGTTCAATAGACTACTAAGGTTGTAACCTACACTACTTTTATGTCTTGATCCTGACTACGAGATTATAGGCAAATGGTAGGAGTTTTATATAATGTGTAATAAATAAAAACGAAAATTCTTTAATATTACTAACGTAAATAGACACGTGAAGCGAATTATTGAGAAACATTATAATTTATGAGTATTTAATCAATATTGTATCACTATAATAACCAACTGCAGCAGGCTTCGCAAAGATATTAACCAATAGGTCAATATATTGTTTAACGTCAAATCCGTCACGAAAATTCGTAACAAAGCTAATTTAATTACATGTTTAGTGTATATCAGTTGGTTTTATAATTTGTAATTAAAAATACCGAAACGCATCTAATAGTGTAAATTGTAAGTTATTTTTATAAAAAAAAAAATACAATTGTCGTTGAAGTAAAATTAATATTTTAAAGGTATACATAACACTATTATGATGGTACCTACATATTCATATCACTTTAAAATACTTGAAAAGTCTAAAGTACTACGTATCATAAAAATGACAATAACTGAGTACTTTCAGTACACACACACACACACACACACTCTTGACCATTATATTATGAACGATAATACTTGTGCTGTGTTATATAGTAATGTTTATATATGTTATATTATAAAGTTATGTTTAATATGGTGAAAAAATAATTACCTTTAATAACACCGACTCGCTCAGCTTCTCGCGGTTAATTATTTTTATTGCTACATTTTTCCCAGTAACGCAATGAATGCCGAGCTTCACTAATCCTGAAAAAAATAAATACATATCGATATTATCGACACTGTGATATTATTGTTTACACAGTAATTAACACAATAATATATTAATATATTATATAATACAATAATTAATAATTTTTTTAATTAACTTAAATTAGTATATTATTACTAACTACTGTATAATCTGTATACAGTTTCAAATAAAAATAATCCAATACTTCAATACTATAATCATAATAATAGGTAAAAGTATATCTTTTGCTCTGTTTCTTGATAAACTAATATAATATAGATAAACACGAAATATTTTCTATTTTTTTGTTAGTGGCGGGTATATAAGTCACTTATGTTAATACGGAAGGCGGACAAAATGCAATTTATAAATCGGACTCCATTTCAACTGAGTTATTTATAGAAGCCACTTGTAAAATGACAATAGATGATAATATCTATTATTTATTTATTCTACTTATTTGAAACATTTTATTTAAAAATTTTTGTAATATCAAAATCTTGGCATATAGATGATGGTTGAAATGCATATATGCCATCAAACTATAAATGATAGCGCGACCAAATGTGTCTTATAATAAAAAAGACATTTTTATAAATTATTTTAAGGATACAGTAAAATTATTGCCAATACACAAAAAATGCATGTATTTCAAACTTTTAGTTAGCTCAGTTTGCTGATTTAAACACAATAAGTAGCACGTCAGCATTATAAAGTATAACTATTCTACTATATCTATTGGCATTTACTGTGTATTTAATCAATGCTATTAATAACAATACTATATATTTACATGCCAACTAAAACTAAGCAAATAAACTAACTTAAATTTTAATTTTTAAGACTAAAGTACATTGGGAATTTCTTAACTTATTTAGATCTAAAACCATACTTATCTTAACTAGATATTTCATTTAAAACATAATTATATTTTCATATTTTAAATACTTGATATAATTAGCACACTTAAAATGTTTAAAACTAAATCGAGTCATCATATCGCACAAATGTTTTTTTAATAAGAAATGGTTACGTTTATAGTCCATTGATTAGTTATGGATGAGAATATTCTCTCTGTACTAGCATTATGTCCCGGAATAACAAAAGAAAATTGTGCAATTTTCAAAATTTCAAAAATAATGCTATGTTTTGATTAAAAAAAAAAAAAACTTATTTAAAGAATTTTTAAAAAAGTATGCATTATCTTGAATGTTTAAAAATGTTTATAAATTTTTAATCTGGTCATTATTAAAATATTTAGTCATTAGACCCTAAAAAAAATATAAAAATATCAAACATATTATCAATAATCAAAGAATTTCAAATATATAAAACAGTTGCAGCCTTTAGGAAAACAAACCTTTATTAGCAATAATTGATACATAACAACCACAGATTTTACACTTGGCTTCAATAACGTCACGGCCATTAACAAAACATTTACACAATTTTTTGAATCAATTATTGAAGAACGAAGAAAAATTTTCTTTATGGATTTTTTAAAATAATAATTACAAGACTAGTTGTCCAGGTATTAACTTTTAACTTGTCTTTTTAAAAGTCTTAGTTTATAAATAATAATATGTAATTATAAAATTTATGATTATTATTTATTGTCATGTTTTGATAATTTTCTCAACCATAGCAGTTTATTTTAATTTTATGATAAGCACTTTAAAGTATTTTAAACATGGTTATATTATATCACTGTAAAGAAGTTAAGTTGTTTCAGGTCAGATAGTTCTAACAGACGGTCTAGCATAGTTTATAAAATATTCTATGTTTGAAATTTTGAATAGTTCTGATAATAATAACGATAAATTATAAATTTTATCACAATATCACAAAAACAAAATCATAGTTTTTAATTTTTATGCAACTAATCCAGAATATAGAAAAAATAAAATACGCGTAAAAAAGATGACACCCAAATAAAGCGTCATGATTTTTTTTTTACTTAGAATAAATCTAGGAATGAATACTATTTGCAAACTCATTTTATTACAAATTATAACTTGAATCTTGAATAGTTCAAAAATGTTAATATTTATAAACTTAGATATTTTTGTTCAGAAACTTTAATAAAAATATTGTATTTATAAAAATGAGTAGAAGTTAAGAGAATCTAATACGTAAAATAATTTATAGCTATGGTAGTTTTAATTAAATTAATCTCATATATCATAATTTTGCTTACAATTTATTATTTAAAACTACATAATTTAATGGTTATGTTTTATGTATATCTATTATTTGCCAAAGACATTGATTTAAAAAATATAAAATCTAACAATTAAAAAAACATTTTCTTTTAAAAATAAATTACTTGTACATCTATTTTATGTTAAATTTATGTTAATACAATATGACTAATTAAACAAAAATATATATAATACAATATAAGAATTCAAATAATGTATTTAATTATTCAATGTCGCCGCTAAAGCGTTAACACTTTTAAAAATTTTAAACAATTAACAAAAAACATAACTTGTTGAATGTACCTATTGGTAATTTTATCAAACAGTGACGTGTAGGTTACATGAAACTTTTGAGAAAAAATGTTTTTTATATTGTCATTTCTTCATTTATAAATAAAATTAGATTTTATCAAATCTTATTCAAGGTATCTACCACGAACAAATAATAGTACCTAATATACGAGTATATACGCAACAGCTACGTAAAATAGCGTAGATATTTTTGTGTAAGGAAATATTATTGGTGGTTTTTATACATATCACAATTATCTCAGTTATTGAATAATTTACAATTAAAGTTTGAGTAATGTTACTCTCTGTGTAATAATTAAAAAAGTAACTATAACTTTTTTTTTAAACTGAGTTAAAATAATACATTTTTTTTTATATTAACTTTAAGCTTGATAAATCAAATGTATTATTTGTTAGTTATTCATTTTTAACCTATCAATCTTGTGTTCACTCAACTCAAATTAATTATTTTTATTGACATGCTTGACTTTGGTTAGATATATGGTGTATGTAGGTATGATAGTAGGTTAAATATTATAATCATTTATAGTTGTTGGATGAGAGATGATAAATACGTCAAAGATATTTAAGTAGTATAATTTTTTGATTTAAGTAGATATGCTTTTAAATCTTACACTATAATATAATGATAAATATTCAATAAAACTCAATAAAACATGAATAATAGCAAAATAATTGATAAAATATTGACATTTTTATTTTCATCATACCAGAAACTCGGTATGTTTTTTTTTTTCATTTAAAACGTATCTATAGTATTATATAAATGGATTTTTTCTTTTACTTTGGCTTTTAAATAAGATTCACTTCTAAAATCAAATTTCAATTCACAAATAATTCTCAATGACTAAGTTGAAATGAATCACACTTTGCTACAAAATGCAAAACTTATATATCATTTTGCTTTCCTTAGTAACAATGTATTATATTATAATAATTTAATAGTGCTTTTGAATTCTCGTTATACGTTTGAATCTATAGAAACCATTTTGAATGTAATTCAATTTTCAATAACGTTGTAAATTATTTCTTTTCATTATTATTGACATAATCATAAAAAATAAATAAAATATTTCAGATAAATGACTTTCAAGAAATGTAATGAAATGACTTAAGTATAATACAATAAATTAATAATATATTGTAATATCTAAACTGAATTGAACATTTTTTTACGCATTTAAATTTTGATAAATATTCAGGACTAATTAAAAACATATTTTTTCACAATGTTTATTTAAAACTATTTTTTTACTTCTTACCCAGTATTCTGTTTTGATATTATCGTACATGTAATACTTTTTATACAAAAATAAAATCAAAAAATTTAACGTTTTTAGAAAATATGTTTATATATTTATTTTTGGAAATATTTCTTTTTATCATTTAATTTGTTACCAAACGATATTTTTGAAAATAAGAAAAATATTTTTACTTTTTTCTAAGACATACATATTTAATTTTATAGTCAAAAATTCAAACATAAAAATAGTGAAAGAAGGTAAATGCTTTGCTATACAATAAGTGATGCGAGTGTACATCATCACTAATTAGATAATTTTCTGTAATGTATATCAAAAAACGTTATGCATTATCTAGACAATTGTGTTTATTATAACTTATAAGTATATAGGAAAATAGTCTATTTATTGAGCTACTTAAATAAAATGGTTACTTAAGATAAATTATCTACTAATATAATGTTTGTGATAAGATAATATTTACCATTACATTTTTTTTTTTTATATGAAAGGGATTAATTATTTTGAGCTTTTACCAACTTATTTTATTTTATTTCTATGTTGTTTTATGTGTTTAATTACCTAAGTAATTTATTTTTATTTTTATTATTTTTAAATACAGAAGGTAAACATATTAAAAAATAAAAATATTTACGAGTTTAAAAAATAACTTATATTATAGCAAAAATTTTATAAATTTTTTGATGTACAGATACAAGTTTTAGATCATCATTTATCTATTATTTAAATGAATATTTTAAAGGTTATCTATTATATTATCTCTATAGAATTTCAATGAATAGATAATTATCCTATCTAGGTACTTTTTGTATTATTTTTTTACAAAACTGTGTAAGAAGTATTAAATTGAAATTCAATAATAAATCAAACCATAAAAAAAACGGTTCTAAATTAAAAAAGTTGATCAGCCTATATTTCTAAGTATATTTAATGATATCTTTATTAAATTTATTCATTTTACTATTAGTATTACGATTTATTTTTATTGAAAACATTGTACATAACCGATGCAAGGTGATTATTATTTAAACTAGCTTACAATATACTATTGATACGTATAATTAAGTGACTCTCTCCCATTCCACTTTACTCATTTAAAATTAAAATATTTGGAACTAATAAATTGAAAATAGTTTGAAATTCAAATTTTATATTATATTAGACATGCGTCGGTTTTAAAGGACTGTAGAATAAAAATCATTGTACTTACAAAAATTAGGTTTACATTTTTCGGATTCA